ATTACAATTACTTTACTCAAAAAGGAACTAACTCCATTTCACATGGACCTTTGAAGCCTGTACTTCTTTCCTTATCTAGCTACTCTTCTCTTTATATATTTGACAACTAACCATTATAACTTTGTCCCCAGTTCCTGAAGTTCATGAACCACAAGAAGTCTCGTCTAACTGACTTGTTCCGTAAGATGGACAAGGATAACAACGGCCTCATCGCCAGACACGAGTTCATTGACGGAATTATCAACACCAGTGAGTACACACTTCCTTGTAGACCAGCAATGGATAGATACTACATATTAACCACCAATCGATCTTATTAAGAGCAATGGATACTACCTAAATATTAAAAGGGTTTACGCAGCGCAATTTTCAAACAAACTTGCAAGTCTTTATTCATGGAAATGACTTGCCTGATTTTAATGGAACTTGGTACTCATATACAACATAATTAATGAACATATTTTAACCTACATCAAGTCATCTATCTATCAAGACTGGATATGAGCAGAAGACTTGTTAACTCGTCGAGTACCGGTTTTGTAGACACAATTATAGAACAATAGGTTGCGGTCACCGGTGACCGCTTGGTGTTTGACAGTTTAAAGGTCATATGGAGCTGCTGCATGTAGATCGCTTTCAACCGGTTCATTTAAAAGTCATTGGGAGAGCCTAGGAGACCTAAGGCAATGACAATGATGACTTTACCACATTTCTTTTGTCACAGAATTCGACACATCTCGGCTGGAGATGGGTGCCGTGGCTGACCTGTTTGACAGGAACGGTAGCGGTCTCATCGACTGGGAACAGTTCATTGCAGCGCTCCGACCTGACTGGGTAAGTTTATGTGATCTACAGATTGTTATTTGGGGTGTTATGTGTATGTGAACTTGTATGTTTGTAAACGCACCCACGACACAGGAGAAAATACTAGAATGGGGCAACGTTATTCGTTATTCGTGGGCCCGATAGCAGCGAACCTGAAAATGATAATTATGTATTAAGTTTATGAAAATGAATGCGACGAAAAATGTCATCCTTTTGCACATGGAAACGCCAAAAAAGATATTATCGATCGATACATACTTGGATACAATTTTGTAACGTTTTGTTGACATTTTTGTATGTTATCGAAAATGCACAGATAATATTATCAGACTGCGATACGATAACATCAGATTTTCAGGAGAAAGGCCCAATAAATAGCTTTCATAGTTTATATTATGTTTTGTACAAGTTACGTACCTATTTAGATGTACTGTAGTGTTTAATAATGTGCGTTATATATTTCTTTTTTTGGTGAATCGAACATATATAGTAAGAAAGTGTTTACAGAGACATCCAGCGTGATTAGAACATTGAATATTTTTTGTACGGTTCAACATGTATTTATTTATTTATAATTAATATACTTATATAATATAATTATGAATAAATATATACAACTTAAAATTAACTAAAAGTAAAACAGTGAATAAAAAAAGAAGAAAAAAAAACGGAAACAACACCATCAGTTTGACGTCAAAGAACTCATTTTGAATAATATTTTTTACTACATAATGGCAGTTATTGGTATGTAGGTAAAAGTTCGTTCTGTCTCAACTGATGTACTTCTTAATCCCCGATCATGAAAAATCCACAACATTTGTTTATACAAAAGTAGTTTCTAAACATCGGGAATAAAGTCTACAATAGAGTAAGCGGAGAGCGGTCAAATTTCTGATTCAATACGCAGTTCTGAAAGGATTATTATTATTAAATAAGGCCAGTTACTTCTTCATTTTGATACTAAACTTAAGAATTTCCATGAGTTGTTGTTTGTTAAATAAATAGAGACTTTATTTCCTACTACTTTAAGCCTAATTTCCTTTGTAGGGATCATGACTTGACGTAGTAATAAGAATTAAAGAATTAAAGCCTATTTTTCCTTACCAGGTTGAGAGACGCGGTCCACCGACAGACGCGGATAAGATCCACGATGAAGTGAAACGCCTCGTCATGCTTTGTACCTGCAGACAGAAGTTCAGGGTGTTCCAAGTTGGAGAGGGCAAGTACAGGGTGAGTGTCCAACTATAGATCTATTATTTTTTATAAAGTATCCAGGTTGTTAAGGTAAATTAATATTGTGGATTATTAGTTGCTGGGTTCGATTCCCGGACAAAACAAATAATTGTGTAATCTGGACTATCTAAATCTGAACTTATTAGGTATAATAATAATTATGAGGTAACGTGTATGTAAAAGCCAAATACATAGCAAAGTTAGTCAAAAAATAAGTTCAGACTTAGTTATAACAATGGAAGTTTCAAAATTTAATCTAAAACCTCTTGGTCTATATCAAATCAATATCATTAGCCTATAAATGCCCACTGCTAACCAAAGGCCTCTTCTCGCACGGAGAAGGTTTGAGCATTAATCACCAAGCTTGCTTAATGGGGGTTGGCAATTTCGAAATTATAATTATAATTTCTTCACGATGTTTTCCCTTACCGTTTGTCAGTGGTGTCTAAATAATTTTAGAAAGTACTTGGAAAAAGTCACATTGGTACTTGCTGTTGGTAGGTATCGAACTGCACCCTCGTACATGAGATGCGGGCGTAGTCACCACGACTTTTTTAAAATCAATATATCAGTTTCTCTACATAGTATAAAACAAAGTCGTTTTCTCTGTCCCTATGTGGCTATGTCCCTATGTATGCTTAAATCTTTGAAACTACGCAACGGATTTTGATGCGGTTTTTAATAGATAGAGTGATTCTTAAGGAAGGTTTATATGTATAATACATGCATAATATAGTGGAGAAACACTGATAAATTTAGAGGTTTCTAAAGTGATGTCGTAAATCAACACGTTTTTTTTTGCGCTTATATTGCAAACGCTGGCTGTACCCTTTTTGTTTTGATGTCGGTGGGAAACCTTCAAAAGGCGCCTAGCTTTTTGAGGAGAAAGACTAGAGAGTTTGGGATTTCTTACCTCACTAAAACCACCCCGGTGGCCTCCTTCAGTACCTGTAAGGGGCACCGGGTCCTTTGAAGAGATCTGCTCCGTTGCCCCCGAACGCTAGCTTACCCCTACGATATAGACTAAAATAATGTACTACAGTAGGGGCGTACTGCTATAATCAATATAAAAACAACCACTAATCTTTTATTTTAATTCCCAAACAGTTCGGAGACTCACAGAAACTGCGTCTCGTCCGTATCCTCCGGTCTACGGTGATGGTACGAGTCGGTGGCGGTTGGGTCGCCCTCGACGAGTTCCTGGTCAAGAACGACCCTTGCAGAGGTACGTGCCATTCATTTTTAAAGGGAAATAGGTTCCTAAGACATATTTTTAAACGTAAACATTACTTTACTAAGACAAGTTGACTGTGTAATGGTACATTTACCTTATTTTTGAGAAATGGTGCCTTTACCCTACGGAGCATTTAACCTATGGTTATGGTAAATTTGAAAATTTAACTTTATGCACTTTGAAATAAGACGTATTTTTTAGTGTTTTTGATTATTATTGGAACATTAATATTACTTGTCTTGGCATTGTTATGTTTATTAGGTGTTATAAATACACACGTACTTATTGCTACATATCAAGATCTAGTTATTATAATGAAGATTTTTTCCAAATAAAAACAATTTTTAGTCATACAGAATCTTTTACTACTATTAGAGAGCTTAGTATTTGGTTGGTTTATTGGAGCCAGCCAATCAGAGAGCCGAACGCGTACTCATTTCGATTACTTTATACCTAAAACAAACTCGTACTAAGGCCTAAGATAATTAAACGTATCTGTTTCATGATAGGGTAGCACACGCCATGCTGTATCAAATAAAACGGATTTCATATAGATTGATATAGATCAAAGGAGTCAAAATACGAGCCTTCATAATATCATTGGTAGAGATTGCTATATGGCATTAAGTTGGCCTTATATGCCACTATTTAATCAAATTGTATATTAAAGACTGCCTCGTTGGCCGAGTGGTCCCAAGGTCGACTGCCGGGCAAGGGGTCTCAGGTTCGATTCCCGGGTCGGGCAAAGATCTAGTGGGTTTTTAAAAAAAACTCAGTAGTAGCACGGAGTCTGGAATTGTGCCCGGTATATGGCAATAGACTCGCACCATATTATATGGGACTCATAACATAAATAGTGAAAAGTAGGTGTTACATTGTACAGTGGCATTAAGTGCTGTAATGTTCACCTCTGCCTGTCCCTTCGGGGATAAAAGGCGTGATGTTGTGTTGTTGTTGTATTTTAAAGACTCAATCTATATAAATAAAAATGAATTTCTGTTCATCTGTCTCGCTAAAACTCTAGAACGGCTGAACCGATTAGGGTAATTTTGGTCTTGACAGGTTCGTGGAAGTCTAGGAAAGGTTTAAGAGGTGAGAAAAAACTTTTAGGCGGTACGAAGTTTGCCGTGTCAGCTAGGAAATAAATAAAATATCGCATGGTTATTATTATTATACCGAACATTCAATACATGGCACGCTCAATACATAGTGTTCAGAATATCGGAGACGTGTTCAAAGTGGTCCCATGACTGAGCATTCATGAATGCTCCTGTCACCATTGGATATTTGCCTGGTTCAAAAATAAATTACCTATTTTGATTTTTTAATGCAATTAAATATTCAATTAAATAGTGAAAAGTGGGTGTTACATTGTACAGTGCCATTAAGTGCCGTAATGTGCACCTCTGCCTACCCCTTCGGGGATAAAAAGGCGTGATGATGATGATGATGATGTTATTAAATATTCAAAAATAATTATGATTTGTTTCATAATATATTTGACGATATACTTAATTTTCAATTTATTCTAGAAAATCTTTTCAGAAATAAGTGTGCTATTAGACTCGAAAATGTGATGACGTCATAAGTTAGTTTTTGGTGCAAAATTCATAGAACAATATCCTTTTTGATGTTTCGATAAAAGTATTGAATTAAGATTAGTTGTAAAATACCGTATTTTAATTTTGCCATCACCACTCGACACTGGCAGTATAGTCGACAACACCATTTTGGAGACTCGGTTGCCAAAGAAGACAAAAAAATATACTGTATTGTGACCACTTCATCAATAAGTCAGTTCTGCATCAAAATACATCTTGATATGTAGTAATATGTACAAAAAACCTTATATACCTTTATACTCTAGCAGTATTCGATATATTTGGTTGTGTCAAAGGATTGTATCATTTTGTTGGATTATCGTGGGAAGTAGATTTTAAGTTTTTTTTTTTCAGATAGTAGGTTAAGGGAACCATAGACTAACCTTTTTTTCTATATTTACGTGACACAGGGGTACATTGTCCAATTAATTTGGGTCCATTTTATCATTTGGTGAACATAAGTAAACATTTTTCATTTTTGAAAAATAAAATACCTAACTACACTTCTTTTCTTAGAAGTTAAAGCATTTACCATAAACAGGTACTATTATGTGTTAGAAGTTTTATAGTCGAATGAGGGTTTTTTTTAAATAACTTTTTTTCTTCATTACTGTTCGACTTTTGAAAATGACAGTTCATTATTTTAATTATTCTTATTTCTACCTAGAGACACAGTTATTTCGGGTATTTTCAGAATTTCTGTCATTCGCATTTGTGCCATCAGGGAATCTAATTCCATGTCATTCTTTACCATCAAAGCATTTGTGTAGAAAATATTCAGTATTTATCTAAATACAAATATGTTCTACAGAGGAAGTTACAAATATGGTGTTAACAGTTGTAAAAATGTTAAGTAATCACTTTTATCTAGTGAAACTTACCTTGTTTGAATATGTCTGCTTTCCCACGATAATCTAAACATGTTGTTTATGTAGGTACTTCATTTTTGGTCTTACTGCAAACAGCTGCAACCTTATATATTAACTTTTCAGTTAATACCTACATCATTGTTTTTTAATTTTCGAACCGTATTTTTTAGGTTTAATCAATTTCACTTTAAATTTTTATAATTGGTGCTGTAAGAACAGAAATGTGTGACAGAGGATTTTTTTTAATAATTTTTTTTTTATTACTGTTCGACTTTTGAAAATGACAGTTCGTTATTTTAATGTTTAATCACTCTTAACTTCTAAAGAAAAGAAATTCTCAATCCCTTCAAATTGAAACATCATTGTTAAATTTAAATTTTTATTAAGAAATCTATCTATTATCTTTCAAATGATGTTTCAAGCACTAAGTACCTACATACCTACAAAATTATGGATTTGTATGAAAAATGTAAATGTGATAGACAAAAAAATAAGTATGTGAAATATTAAACTTTCTGAATAATTGAATTTGGTTAGATGTAACTTACGGATCTTTTTGCGTTTGTATTTTCCAAGCAACATTATGTTGGTAAAAATAAGACAGCAACGTTATACCAAACTATCACATTACATTTTAAATTATGAAGCCAATAACGACCTTATTACACTCCCAAATTGAACAATAAAATGTTACCTTATATGATTACAGGCTTCATAAATAACTAATTTATTATTAATGGCAACTTCTACAATGCTTTTTGTTATAAAAGCTCTGTAAAAGTTGTGGCGACTATCAGGCATTTTAAAAATTACACTATAGATAAGAGATTGAGTACAAATAATAAGAGCGGGTTAAACCTAGAGAGCGCTCTAGGCAAGTCGCTCATAGGCGCCACTATATGGGAACTTAGGTACGAGTCTCATGACGTCACTCCTTTACTTGGCGCTTGCCTGGTTTGCCCTAGGGATAATACAGCTCTCACAATCAGCCAAATTATTATGCATACAGGTAAGAAAATAAAGGTTTAAAAGAGACAGTAGCTATTCTTGTGCCCAATTCGACCTATGCTTTAGAAGAACGAAGCCAAATCCATATTATAATCAACCAAGTCTTACTGTCGATTTTTATTGTCTTACTTGCATACTAAATAAGTTGGTTGACAGAATTATGACGTCATAATATGAATTTTAGTTTCTTGTGTAATTGAAATGCCTTGTAGTCGATTCTTTTATATTATAGTATGTATTAGGTATGTATGGTGATATTCAAAGTGTCAATCAAACGTCTCGGTACTTCGTATTATGTGTTAACTCCGTAATAAGGGATATATTGACTAATATGTGATCATGTGACGTTCCTAACTTCGTGGACAAATATTTTTTTAATTCTTTATATATTGGGCGAAGATACTCAAGACCGCGCCTTCATTCTGTGCCATTATTTATTGGTGTTTCTTTAAATCATTATAGAAATACCACTAAATGATGTTTCGGTAATGCAAAGCACGTTCTGATATATTCTCACCCTATGTATTCAGGTTTCAAACGAAATATTTGTTCAATAGCGTTTTAAATAACAAAATAACACATATTTTAATACAATTTTATTATACGGGTACAAATATTAACTACAGATTACAAAAATTAATTTCACATTAAAACTTACATTAATTTCATAAATTATTAAGTAGCTGGCAATATCGTTAATAAACTAATTTAATCTAGCAATACTGTTTAGTTAAAAATGCAAAATAAAAATCACAGAATAAGGTTACATACTAACGAAAATACTTTTTGGAAGCTCGACACGAAACTGGAAATATCAAGGTCAATCTACCTGTTTTACGATGTAAAAAATATTTTTAGAATGACTCGATATAATCTTAGCTGCCTAAGGATTCTAAGAAGTAGAATACATGATTAAAAACTTCTATTAAAAACACAATCATAAAAATATTACTTCAATCAATCAAATCATTTTGTATAAGAGAAAATATCTAAAAACTATTAGTGAGAACAAGTATTAAGTCTTTAAAATATATTCTTAAATCTAATGGTTACTGCTTCGCTTCGCTAAGTCATGGCTACGAACGAGCGATAAGACTAAATAAATACAGACTACATTTCCGGTTACATATTTGAGTACAAAATATTGTTCGGCGAGACGAAAAGCTCTGTCGACATGTATGCCTATTGCCTATACTCAGAGATTCTCTCGATCTATATCTAATTAACGCCTACGATAAGCCTGAACTCCTATTTACGATCTCTAAACGTACAAATTTGAAGATTTACGACTATAATTATCGTAAAGTTGTATTTTAGAAGCGATTTCAACGGCCGATTACGCAATCGTGTCTTGCACGTCTAATCTCATATTGGGGCAAACATTTGGGCCAAAGGGTATAAAGGCAAGAATTTTCGACGATTTATGGCCAATATTGGCCCAAGTTTTATTTCCAACATATGGAATTTAAATTGATCAAAAAGATGGAAGAGCAAACGTTACTTAAAATTACTATCGAAATACTTAATGGGCATGGTTAGTCAATAGTAGCCTTCCTAATGAAGGATGTTAGAGAAGAAATCTCACTACTGGCTCTCTCGCTAGGTAAGGGGCTAAATTCCATTTCCTCGCTCAAATTCTGTGTATCAGCAGTATTCTCAACAACTGGCCATTTTTTGTGGCTTGGGGCATACAAGACCAACAAAGCAATGATGTAGATGTTCCACATTCCATACACTCCAGTAAAAAATGCTGAAGTATATTCCAACTCAATATTCTCATCCCACTTCCACTGGCCTTCAGCAACTTGTCCCAGAATGAAACCAATAACAGTGAGTGCAGCACAAAGCAGGGTAGCCAACATGAGGAACTTGAAGCGGTAAATGATCCCTTCATAGTGGAGACGACGCACAGAACACATTGTAGGCAGGGATTGCCTCCTGTAGGAAATGTTTGTAAAAACTTGCCAGATCATGTAGCACAAGAATAGGAAATATACTCCAGCTGATATCCCGGCCAGTATGATGAATGTCAAAGCTAAGTTAGTCCCAAGATCTGTCACCCAAATAGAGTAGAAAGGGTTGCGAAGCTGTACACCCCTCTCACACATGTCAAACACAAAGAGAGAGATGCAGCCCAGTGCCACAGCACTCAAATGTCTCCAGTACTGTTTCACTGAGCTTTGGGCTGATGTGTCCTGAATCAGCATATGTTCTCCAGCAAAAATAAGCCAGAATGAAAACAATGTAGCATAGAACAAACCTTGACGGATATCACTTAATAACAACATAAATGGTAAATCATAATGTAAAGTCAAGTACTCAATTGGCATATTTAAAAGACAAAGAGCTACACCAAGGCTCAAAAGCATTTTCTCCAGTAAGACAGGCTTCCGTTGAAGAATGTGGATGCGTCGCCAGAACCAAACCAATATACCAACAATGCAAGGGAAAAATACTGTCTTCAAATACAACCAGACTCTAGTAAACCCACCATTCTGGTTGATCACAGTCAACCACATGTCTTGTATATGACCAATTTGTGAATTCATAGTAGGTGAATCAACAGGGAGTCTTACATTGAGTAGGTAGTAGTCGTGAAACAAAGAACCAAGTTCAAACAATGGGATAGCTGAGCAGTTATATAAATATTCTTCACTTTTCAAATCAATGTCACAATCTAAATTGCGTTTCTCCACTGATTTTGTGTAAAACTTCCACACATCTTCTGGGTCGCCTTTGTTACGGTAAGCTAAGCGCGCATCGATCGTGATATCGCTTCGTGCCGGCACCTCGAACTGAGAGTGGTACTTAATATCCACTTGCAGCACTCCAATTAGATTTTGTTGCCACCGCGAGTAATCCAGAACCATACCCTCCCGTGGGCCCGGCATTTGGAATGCGAAAACAATGTCGGTCTCTGACAAATCGTGATGCGGTTGACCAAGGTCGATGCTCTTGCAAGCTCCTTTCCCACGGTTGTAATACCAATTGGTCGTGTCATTTTTCATTATAGAAGTATCACGGCACACGGTTGCGAGTATTGTTTGAGTGTTTGCAGGCATGGGTGCGACCAAACCACCGATGAGAAAACATGTTAGCTGACATAACATAAGAAAACTCACTAAAATGGCGAGTTTACGCCCACTTAAGTTCTCAATTATAGTACCCGTCATGTTTCAGACGTTTCACACGCGGATTACATTTAAAAACTTGTTCAATATGAATTAAAATCGACCGGTGGTGATTTCCATTGTTCTTGTTTTCTTTTTCGACGCGACGTACTTGACATGCGCAGTACCGATGTTGCCAGCTAAAAACGTAACGTTATAACGCTAACTCGAATAACGATAACGGTTAGATAACGATAACGATTAACTACTACGTATTTAAATTAACTATAATACATAATATTACTGTTTGGTTTATTAAAAAAACATTGATATAATTATTTACTATTGAATTTAAAAAAGTTTCATATACACACTGAAAAAAACTGTAACTCACGAAGTATTTCGAATAAATCCTTACACCGCCAACATTATTCACTTCACTCGCATTGTGAAGCATTTTTCAACAAAAAGCTAGTATCAGCAAAAAATGTCGTTATTGCTAAAGTAAGCATTAAATATGTCCACATACAATTTTGATGTTGCTACTAATTTACTAATTCGTATTCGCTTTGCCCAATCCACCTCCCGTGGTCCTTATCAAAAATTCGTTTATTTTTTTTTGTTTTATATTTTTTTGAATCCTATAAAATCCCTTTACATAAGTAGTATCATTAGTGCTACCGCTGCCTGACCCGAGCAAGCCGGAGCAGCATGAAGCTTGTTGCCCGCTCGGTAAGAGATATGACCTGCATTGGAACCTTCTTAAAAATCTTTATCACTTTTGGCTTTTTATTTAACTACACCAAATTTGTAAAAAAAAAATGGTTCCATTGCAAGTCCGTCTAGTTGGTGTGGCTTAGATTTTTATTTTTGCAATGTTGTAAAATTATTTTGCTCTACATTTTACACGTTTGGTGCTTTTATTGTTATACAGCTTTTATTATTCCATCAAATGTGTAGAATGCTATTGTAGTTTGGGTTTTGACTAATTATGTAATTAATAAAATTTATTGTAGTGGTTATATGTGGGAAATATAAAAAAGATTGCTTAATAAAATTAATGGCATGACAGTGGTTCTTTATTTGCATTAAGTATTTTATTATGAAATTTATTTTATTTGGTAGTAACTAATGGGTTATAATTCAAGCGCAAGATATTGATCGTTGTATGTTCTATGTAAATAATTTATTAAGTCTCCACTTTAAGACATATACATTGCACAGTTGTCAATAAAATATTTATCAATGTAAATAATATTTTCATTATTTTATTCATTTGATCTTGCTCTTGATTTATACATTTGCATATATTTGGTGAGAGAATATACTAATCGTATTTTACTATTCCTATTCCTAACTGCACAAAATTACAAAATCCTCCCATTTTTTTTACAACTGTTATGTTTGTTTATGTTTGACATGTTCTGATTTGTTTGTTGTTTTTTTTTCTTTTCCTCACTACCAATGCACGCTGTCCCGTTTTTTTTAACACTTTTTGGTGTTATTTTTCTACCTATCCTTTTACCGAACGGTTTTCTTTGACCCTATCCTATCCTGTCCTATTTGTGATCCCGCGCACCGGACGCCGCCCGCATGCAGCCAAGGGACGCACCAACATCGAACTACGAGAGCAATTCATTCTGGCCGATGGAGTGTCACAGAGCATGGCAGCGTTTAGACCGCGTACGCCCCGCTCTAACACAAACACACCACCGTCCACTGGACCTATTATGAAGGTAAGTACTCAAACCGCTATACTTAAATCAATCTTCTCTCCTACAGGATAGAACTTAGTTATAATTTCGCACAAGTAAAAAAGCGCACAGTAGTTGTTGGAGGGAGCAATCGGTTTGGGAATCAATTTTTTTCGCTTTGTTTTCTTATTGAACTTTGCACATGGATTTATGTACATCCATATGCAAGGTGCAGTGTCGTGAGTGCAGCATGTGTTGAGCTCGTAGAGATTGGTCGTATTGCATTAGTGTTCAAGCTATGCATTGATGCACAGGCTCGTGTAGTGTGTTGGTGTTGTTTGTTAGTGTATTTCATTGGACCCACTGCATTGGAGAGGTGGCACGACTACGCCTATGGATGTTTTGGTAATGTATTTTCGTTCACCCATCCCGCTCGTCCCCCAATCATACCCGCATCAACAAAATTCACTCGCGTTCGACTAAACGTGTGGACTAATAGTAACAACGTGAAAATTCGTCGTAAATAAACGCGTTCCGGAAAACAAACGATTGGCACTATGAAGACAAAAACGAAATGTTTCGTTTTGTACGGTTCCTTCCTTAATAAGCCTCCCGGTTTTGTATTGGTGCGTTTAGCTGAAGAGTTTATGGAGCAGCTGAGGCCTATATTTGAGGCTCTACGTCAACGGGAGGAGCTTCCGTGTTCGTATCCTCTGCACGTCGGTTCAACGCATGGCACTAAGCAGGCGTTCATATACGGCCACTCAAGATCTCAAGGTTCCACCACGCCGGGGGCACACCACTATAGCCACCACCATGGCTATCAGCCCTCTCCAGGATATCATTGGGTAATGCTACGTAGGCTGTGTGAAAGTGGCGCGGTTGTTTGCACTCTCGAATCATTTTTGAGGTTTACTTTATGATTTGATAACTGTGATAGTCCATCGTGTATGTACGTAATGTAGACAATGTCAAGTCCGCTAGAGTAGCATGATTATAGTAATCTATGTATCGATTTGATATAATCATAAGATCTGCTTCAATTTAAATAGTCACTTGTTCATTAACATAAACACAAGTCATTTTGAAAATTGCTTACACTCGCGTGTTTTGTTTTTATTCAATTCACGAGTTTACATCGAATGGATTAGTAATAAAACACTATATATGTATAGGTAAGAGAACGCACAGCTCGTTCCGTACCAATGTCTGCGGGAGGAGTAGCAGGCAGAGCATCAAGGTCTTCCCTGAGTGCTGGTACACCTGATTCCTTGAGCGACAATGAAGCAGCAAGCGGACTTGGAGCGAGGTATAAGAAGTCAAGCGTGCCCAGGTGAGTCAAAGAATTAAAGTGAAATACATAACAATTTTTTTTTAATTGTTTTCTGACTTCGCATCAACCACTTCAAAGAGAATGCCTTAAGGCATTAAAACCGCCATTCACTGTTATTTTTGTGAAGAAATAAATAGTACATTTTTTGATCATCTATTTCATAGTTACAGAAACTTAATTTTAATGTGATTTATGACATATTCTTTTCTTAATAGGTCAACGTTAACACCTGGAGGATCTCGACCAGGCTCTAGGCCAGGATCACGAGCTGGATCCAAACCCCCTTCCAGACATGGATCCAATCTCTCCCTAGATAGTACCGGTAAGATATATTAATTCTAAATTCAGATATGATACTCTTTCCAAAAGTGTTTACGATTGCGTATTAATTTTATTTGTTTTCGCTCTAGATGATGTTTCGACGCCATCTCGCATCCCGATGCGTAGGGTGACGAACACAAAGACATCAATAGCACGTGCTGCTGCTAACGCCAACAAACTTGGTGTGACCACACCCAATGGAGGATCGCGACCCCGCACTCCAACCGGTTTCTTAACCCCAGCTAGCGGAAGGTACGTAACTTCAAACAACTAATATTTCTGTTTCTTGTGAATGTAGATATGGTTAATTTTTTTATGTGCCAAACTCACTTTATATTTCATAAAGTGTGACGGATAATGTAAATCATCAAAACCAATCTACATTCATATTTTTGTTGGAGAAATGGAAGGTGACTGTCCCTCTTCGTCATTTGTATGTACAATAAAACAATAATAGTAATTTGTCTTAAATATAACATTTAAGACAAATTACCTACACTACAATGTCACATCTTCTACAACAACACTTGAACAATCATTCATTTCTCCCGTCAACATACAGCAAAAATATTGTAAAATAACCGGTGTACTGATACGCACGGACAGGTATCCTACCGGCGGGATGTACCGCACTTCAAGTATACCGACACTGTCACCGGTGCCGGCATTAGTGAGGTACACACTCAAACTTCGCCATTGACTTGTTTGTCAAATGTGTATCTGGTTTTACGGACGCAACTTAATCAATAAAGCTTAAATAAGAAACATATTATCTGAATCGAAAAGCTCTTCTTTTAGAAGTCCGATAATTATTGAAGCGTATTACAAACCAATTATTGCCCATTTAATGGATTAGCTTGCGTCTTAAAAAGGATTGATTGAAGATACACAAGTTTTGAGCACGTAAAGCTTCTTGAGGGTTACTAGGTGTAGTGACGTCATGGGTACGTCTAGACATGTTGGGTGCACCTGTATTGGGCCAGATCACGATATTGTCTGTTGTTATCGTTTCTATCAAATGTGTTTGTATAGTTATGTAAAAAGGGTGGTGGATAAACTTAATTGAAGGTTTGGTATCAAAGGAAATCCGAAGGCATGTTACAAGTAGTCAGCTAAACAGCTTTACACAGTGTGGTTTTACTAACAAATACGACAGAATTATCAAGAGCGTTAAACTAAATTATTATTATTTTTTCCTTCCCGCATGCAAATACGAAAATGGAAAACAATATAAAACAGCTCGACACATTCCCAGCCATCATCAATGGCATCCGAACATCCCAAATCCTTATCCCATACTCATCCAGCATTCCAAACACAAGGTTCCACCAAAATTCCAGTTTACGTTGGTAACCGCTCTCACCGATCCCCGTCTGTTGAGAGGCGATTGAAAATATCCAGAAAGTCGCATTCTAGAGAAACTTCCCAAGAACCTAGTCCCACTTCCCAAGGCCCCTCGAGGAAATCAGAGCAGAGAAGTCCTGAAGACGACTCCTCACTATTCAGCATATCGGGAATGACGAGCGACAATGAATATGAGAGTAATATAAGCGAGTCGAGCGGCGAAGCGTCAAAGCCGACCCAGCGCGACGTCAAAGGGTACAAGCTTGTAGAATGCTAGCTTCGGTTTTTGCCCGATTATTTTTGATTGATGCTCTTTGAATTTTGAAATTTATGTTTTCATACAAACTTGTCATCGCCACAAAATTTCATGCTCATAATATCTGTCAGATCATTTGCTTGTCAATCACTGATCTCATGTCCGTTTATCGCACTTTAAACAAGTTACCTGTTGATGATATCACTGTATGCCATAAATAAATAATACTAACATCGCCTGAAGCACTGACAACTGATAGCTTTGCACTATTTACAAAGTGATCGAAGAAGTCGAAAAATGTTCTGCAATCGACTGTTTTGGAATATCCACACACCACACCATTCCACTTCGACGTCCATATGCTTCCTTGTAAATAAATCAGCACCTTGTGCAATTTGCCTGTATGTTGTCACGTGATCATGTCTGAACTATAAAATATTGTAATATATTTAATATTTAAGGATATAAACTAATCAAACAATTTTCAGTTTTTATAACACGAATAATATTTCTAATACTAAAATTTGATGGATATTCAGTATATTACAATATTTTTAAAACCTTACCCCTTATTGATACATAATTATGATCTATTTATTATTGTATCTTTGTTCTATTTTCTGTTGTGTCTGCACATGTATGGAATGTTCTTGGAAATATTGTTTTATGAAATGCCAGGTAGGTAGTCTTAAATGTTCAGATACATATGCAGAAACATTCTAACACATTCTTCCTTTTCTGTTGTCCTGACTAATTTTCTATATGTCTGTCTGTCTGTGTGCTCGCTAACATCAACGTAGGAGTGGGTCGTTTGCTTCTACTGAAGGACAAACGCCCGGCAGGAGTCGCATCCCAGTACTAAAGGATCACCATACTAACAGTAATACGACTAGGTAACTACTAAACTTACGTAGTGTGCTTTTATTTTGTTGTTTTTTGTTCCTTGTAGTCAAAATTTTTGTAGGTTTTCTAAAATTTAGAACAATTGGCGGTAAAAATGGGTTTATGTTTTTTTTTCTTTTTAGAGTTGATTAGTGCTTTGCATGTTTTGCCAATCAATAGGAAGTGTTTCTAATTTAATTTGTTTTAAAACAGGCAAAGGACGCCGTCGGGGAGCACAACGCCTGTCCGGTCAGGTCAGCAGACCGCAGTAACCAGACTGCTAAGGAAGCCGTCAGACGCATCAGACTCAGGCACCCCGACCACGCCTGCCTCACGACGCGGGACTCCGGCCTCTTCTCGAACTACGGAGAAACGCGAACCATTCCGACATTAGACGATCTATATTACAAAAAACCCCAGACATTTAATAATTGTGAAAATATCACAATTGTAAAGTTGGGGATATCACCTATGCTATGCAAGTCGCTCTGACGTTATGCTATACAATTTAAAATCATGTTTAATCAATTGCCAAAATTATTATATAGCCCACCTTTGAAAACGTTACCACGACAGAGCGGCTCGCATGTCTAGGCAAGTGCCGACGTAACTTTTAATAACTAACATGAAATTAACCAACGCGCGAATTAAGCCAAGCTTAATAAAAAAATACGCCAATATGGCTTTTGATTTAAGTGAGAACAATTTATAGATAATGGTATTAGTAAAACTTAAAGTCTGCACTTGTTGCCTTGTATTTTTTTCTAAAATCCGCGCCAGTTTTTGCACTTCGTAATTACTCGTTTTATTTATTTGTGCTGTCAAGAATTACAGGACATGTTTGTTCATTAGTCGATGTGAATAAAATACTTTCTCTTATTTATTGTCAACGTTGCCATAATTGTTAGTGTACCTATGTTTTTTGTATGTAAAATGCGTATTATTGTCTCTATACAGAGACTCGTAAAGTGTGATGACGATTTTAATATTGTTTTCTTTAGGGACCATTTGGTTTAACGGATTAATGAAGATAGGTGATTGCTGGCGAGGGCTTTTAAACTGTCGTATTCTTGCGCATATATTCGCCAGATATGCGTGTAGATAGACTGTCTTGAAGTGTTTGTCTGCAATCTGTTAAGGTGATAATAGAATACTTTTCTTTTGTAATGCACAATTATGTGTTTCCCTTTTTATTTTTAAGCCTTAATTGTCATTAGACAAGATTTTTGATTTGTTAATAATTCTGTTTTATACACTTCTGTATATAATTTATGTATGAATCACAGCTGCACAATCTTGTCGAGACTATCATTTGACAAAATAAAAAATCATGCCTGACTATCGCCAGAGTCGGACGTGGTTGATGTTTTTTATAAAAAATCAAAAATCTAATCATGATGACGTATATATTATGTATAAGTACATCAAGTACACTGTCGTAAAAGACATTGTTTAATAAATTGCTAAGAATATTTTGATATTTATTGAAATAATTGCTTTAAAATATAACCTCTTTCAAAATGTTAACCATCGCTCACCATTTATTTGTAAGTTTTTAATATAAATCTGTCCTGTTATTAAGCTTAATTATTATTATTATGAAAAATTATTAATCTGGTCATTTTTTATTTAGATCATTGTTATATTTGTTATGTACAATCGTGGCAAATCTACTAAAAGGCTTATGATATTTTTTGTATAAAAGGATATCTTTGCATTACATCCGTTTAAAATCTCATAACAAAATACCTATCAAATAAATGAAAAGTAACAATTATCCAGTTGTTTTATTTCCTTATAATTTTTCTCGAACCTATGTCGTGTGAGATACAGTTTATTGTTGACTAATGATTTATGAAATATGACTACATAATACAAGTACCTTATTAAAGCTGTTAGAGCAATATAATACGGGTTCGAAACCCGGGTCTGGCAAAAGGCAAGATTATGAATTATTGCAGTATTAGACAAGTTCAGCCTGTCAAGTGAAACAAGTGAATTTATTTCTGCAAGGCAGCACTTTTACACGTCAATTTTATCAAGTGAACGATGAGGCCGACATTTCCTAACTGACTACTCTGAGAAGAAATGCCGAAACAAACTCAGAAGTCTGTCTCTTTTAATGTCCAGACAAATGTGTATAAAAGATTATGTGTGAGAACCGTGCAAATTCTTTCTGTGGTGGCCTTTTGATGAAAGAACCACAACAGTTTGAGCGGACCCGCTCTGAAAGCAGTACGCATGTGTCGGTTTACAATCAGCTCAATTAACAGGTGAGGCTGACTGATTCGACGAACATCACCAACCTAAAGAACATTTGCGTGGGTCGCACAAATACTTAAACTGTCAGAATATGAGTAATTAGAAAAGAAATGGCGAGGCAAAAATCTCGAACGGTCCCAGCACTAACAATTGTAAAATAAAAAGTAAATGTCAAGGTAGAAAAAAAAATGTTCAAATGAAAAACAATGTCACATTAAAGTAATAATGTCAAATTGTCTAAAAAAAGAAATGTAACTATATGTTACTAACGGCAACATGACCTGTGTGGACATTACAGCAGTTTATTCTCAAGCCCGACTATCATCTAGGTAGTTTTTTATTTTTTAAAAAGCTTTACTATAAAGTTTATCTTTAATGACATTTTTAAATTTATTTACTTTAATTTTGGATATGGCTGGTAATTTCATTGCAAAAGCGTATACTCTGACATCTAAACGAACCACTTATTTTCTTAAGTCTAGTAGTGGGAACAACATATTGGTCTTTATTTTTCTTGCTGTTTAACCCCTGATCCAATAGAAATATAAAAAAATGAATGTCCTAGAAACAGGAACAGGCCCATGATGAGACCATTACAATACTTTGTGGCCTTAAAAAAAATAACAATACGATATATGCATTTGTAGATTTAAAACCTATTCACATGGTCCCTGCGGTTGAAACATAGGAAACAGTGCAGTTACGCAGTTCTCGTATTAGAGAGCCCTTTCATTTTACCAATAATAACCTTATTATGTATACGGTTTCGTAAATAACGTAAAAAGTACAAATCCGAATAGTCCAAACTGGCATAAAGTATGTGGTTATAACTTATAACTAGTTATTTCGGAATAACGGATAACGGCTATTGATAACATAACCCGTTATTTATATGGCAACACTGAATATATCTGTCACTTATCAACTTTTTTGGCAGTAATAAGAATTGTCAAAAAATCAGAAAAGTTTCAGAAAAATAAACAAAAAAACAATAAAAAGTTGTTCGTACCAGTGAAAAATGGTTGGATTGAACATGGCTGGACCTGCTAGAGATAGGGTGATGAAACTGATGCAAGACAAAGATAAAATAGAGAGTGAAATTCGAGATCAGACTGCTATATTGGAAACGAATAATGTTGGGATGCACGATTCTTTGGTGGACTCCGAGGGCTACCCTCGAAATGACATCGATGTTTACAAGGTCAGACATGCAAGACATCGTATTATTTGTAAGTACGTCCTTACATTTTCTCTAAATTAACTAATATAAAACTCGAGGAATGACTCTGCAGTTTTGATTCAGCAACAGTCACAAACACTTGATCATGAAATTAGAAGGAATATTATATGGCAATCATACCATACAACACTATGGACCATAGATCTCCTTACCTACTGTCATTGGCATCAATATTTTAACATATCTACAGTTCAAGCTAATAAATAAACTTAAGCTAATTATGTAAGCAGCATTTAACTTGCTTAACATACTCACATGCTGTATTCCCAATTCCTAAATTACTAAAAACTTATTTTAAACTGTTACAGGTCTCCAAAATGATCACAAGAACCTTATGAAGATGATTGAGAAAGGTTTAGCGGAAGTTCATAGAGAACTTCTTGGTTCTAACGGAGAAGGGCCGTCTATGAATATGGCAGCTACCAGCAATGGACATTCTAATGGAGCTAGTGCTGGAGACACCGCTCCTCGTCCCGTTGCTGAAGAAGAAAAGGCCTTTGCGGTAGTCGGTTTTGTTAGTGAAGGATCGCCTGCAGACCTTGCTGTGAGTATATTATAGTTTTGACATAATGATCTCATTTTTATTTTTGTTGTATTTTTTTTTTATTAGCTATTTAATCGAGTCGCCAAACTGTTACTTGAATTTTTACAAAGTATTCCAATAAGCAACTGTTTCAAGAATGATAAAGTCTAACTGAACTATTCTAATTGAAAAACTACTGTTACTGTAACATAACACAACGCACATTATGCCACTATACAATATAACTTTAACACTTTTCACTATTTATGTTATGAGTCCCATGTAATAGGGGGGTGAATGCCTATTGCCATATACCGGGCACAATTCATTCCAGACCCCGTGCTGTTAATGAAAATTTATTAAAAATCCCAATAACACTTTGCCCAACCCGGGAATTGGACCCGAGACCCCCTTGCCTGGCAGTCGCACTTCCGACCACTCGGCCAAAGAGGCAGTCAATTATTGTTACTGTATTTTTTGTCAATTTCTTTCTTATAAGATCCTTATAAGTTATTTATTTACAAAGCTTAATTTCCTTACATACTTATTTCAGGGTCTACAAGAACGCGATGAAATCCTTCAATTCGGATCAGTTAATCATCACAACTTTGAGGACATGTCGCAGATCAACACCATAGTGTCTCACTCGGTCGGCCAGCAAGTGAATGTGAAAGTGAAGAGAGATCAGAACGTTATCAACATATCTATAGTCCCACGACCGTGGCAACAGCCTGGGCTACTCGGTTGCCATATCCAGAGGAAAACGTAATCTTTTTCTTTTTGTAAAATTTTTTTTGATGATTTTCACATGAGACAAATAAATTGAATATTTAGTCTGTGGTGTATGGATTTCATCTGTTCATTGTACCTATTTTATATATATATTTTGAAATAAAATAGCAAAAACTATGCTTGTTCATATCTTTAGTTAGATATAATGTATTAATACATTACTAGTACTTGAATCAAACATTAAAAATTATTTCGAATAGGTTGCACACTGTACTTTTAATGTGAAATTTTTTTTTATCTAACATTGCATTTATGTACAACATACTGCCTTGTTGATCTAGTATGTTTTTGTATAACAAAGAGTATGTGGAAATTGTATTTATGAATAAAAGAATACTAATTTAAAAGTAAACTAAACTAAAACTGAATAATAATAATTTTATTCTCGTATAAATACAAAAACAGCTAACTGTAAATATAAAATTTAAAAATAAATCTTGTGATTGATTACCATTGCATTTGATTTTTTCTTCGGTAATTTTATTTTTACATGTTTCTCTTCCTTGGGGTCGCCGAGTTTGACAATTTTGTGGTCGCCATCTTGGATTTCTGTGACGTCATCCTGTTTTTTTTCTTTTTTGCGGAAATCTTCGTCTGTGTACATGTACTTCATGGAGAAGTCGAAGTATACTTTGTCCTCGACTAGTCGATAGTCTGGTTTCTCGATTGTGCCTCGTAGACAGTCGTGGTAGTGACAGACTGCTTTTTCTTGTTCGTATGTTTCGCAGGAACCTGAAAAAAAAACGAATATTTTTTTTAACTATAGACAGTCTTTACTCAATTTTGTTTATAAAGCTTCTTCTAAAGGAAACTGACTTGTATCGTTAGTCCTGTAATCACAAATTCGTCATGGTTTCCGTAGTCAGTCAAAATCGTGGCAATATAGGCTTCTATTATATATTAAAAAATAGCAAAGAAGTGCGCGTTATTGCGTATGCAGCTGCGAAAAAAAAATGCGCACCTCTGCTAACTTGAAATGTTTGAAAAAAATGAATACCTGGTCTTTTCACCCTGACGGTGAGCACTGCCCTCTCTGGAGCCATATCTTGGAAGTGCACTAAGTAGCAGGCTAACATGGTGCCAGTTCTTCCTCGCCCTTGTCTGCAGTGGATTCCTATAACCTAGAAATAAGGAAGTTGGAGTTAGAAAGTCGAGACTGTAGGGAGATCACTACTTATCTGTCATTCTTATTTTTTGCTATATAAATCAAAGGATCATTTAATATGCAAGCCTCTTCGTTTATCTTGTATGATTCGTATTACGTGTGCTTTTTACGTTAACGGAATTTTACAATTTCACATTAAAATTAACATGTCGCAGTCGCACACAACACAAAGCATCGCCATCTAGTGAGTTGCACAAACATCAATTATGTAGAAAATTCACTAAATCTATAAGCAGTAGCACAATATTTTTGTATAAATTACTGACCTCTCTTCTCATCTCTGCCCTCTCACATATCTCAATGAACTTCAAAATCTGTTTTAAAGTCGGCACTCCGAACTCCTTGATCCTGATCTCTGACCATTTCAACTTTTTCTCGCATTCCAAAATTGGCGGGATTCTCTCTGGTGACAGCGTTATGAGGTGATTGACCCCGACGTCAACAAGATAGTTGAGGTTTTCGACAGTCTGTGGACAGCCCATTGCCGCTATTTTTTTGTCAATGAACCAGGAGAAGTTGTATGGTGGATACGATTCATAATCCTTTTTCTCTTGAACAATTTCATGTTCGGGCTCTTCTTTCTTCTGTCCTTCTTGAGGTTCCGTTCTATATTTGTACCAAAGTTTGGCCAACTTCACATTGGGTCGTTTCGGCACGGTACTCATTGTTGAACACTTAATTATGATAAACCTAGCGGGTGAAGGAATTGGGGGAGTTTATTTTTAATCAACTACGCCGCAGTTGGTGGTTAGCCAGCCAATATTGGCAGCCACATTGGCACGGCTGCATTCGACATTTTGTGTTTTATTTATACCGAGTGAAATGTCAATTAGAAAATAATTAGATCACTATGTGTGTGTAATAATTTGTAGTCGTTTCGTTTAGATACTTTGTAGTTATAGTTAACTGTGGTATTCAGTTAGATACTTATTAGTAGGCCAATCTTTTATTTTGGCGATCGGACGGCTTTTTTTTTAAGGGGCGAAAATCATCGACTGTCTTGTCCCGCCTAGGTGAGGCGGGAGGGAGTGCCAGACTCTTACTGACTAAAAACCACCCCGTTCCTTAACCCGGAGCCCCGTAACCCGTTAGGTTCTCCGCGACGCGATCGGACGGCTTGCGAATGTGACATGGAAAACTAGGGTTTATTTTCTGGTAATAGGTAAACCATTGCTTTTGTAACCGTACCAATAGGTTTACGTATATTTACGTTAAAAGTTAAATGATGATAAAAATAACGAGTGGTCTCTGACTGAGAGTCTACTGCATTCAAGCACTTGGGACATTCTCTTTCTAAAATATTAGGTACTATACCTATTTTGAACTTTGAAAGTCGCTTTACTATAAAAATGCATCGATACAAATGGCGCTACTGGAATATCTAGGTAAGTATTTGGCCCCCAAGAGGCCGGTTACGCTCTTGTAATTCCTCAAATATAGCGAGTATTCATCGAATTGATGGCTTACCGTCAGGTGATGGCGACGGGGATCGCGGGACGATCTCCGGCCACCGCGGCACCGTAAGCGCGGGACTGCGGACGGCGAGCATGGGTGGCTCCCCGTTCGACCAGAAACAGACGCGTCGCGTTCCGCGCGCGCCTTAAAGAGGCATCAGACCACCACAGATGGGGCCCAATAGGGCTGTTGCCGATTCGGAGTCGCGGAGAACCTAACGGGTAACCGGGGCTCCAGCTCGACGTGCAGGAGAAGGAACGGGGTGGTTTTTAGTCAGTAAGAGTCTGACACTCCCTCCCGCCTCACCCAGGCGGGAGCAGTCATTCGATGATTTTCCCCCCTTAAAAAAAAACCATCAGGTGATCCGTCCGTCTTGCCCCTTTATCCCAATAAATAAAACAACAAAATAACAAACAAATAATATATTTATGTCAGGTACATAACAAAACAGATCACAGTATCATCAATCGAGCACCTTCTTAGTGCTTTCCTTGGCGGCTTGTATGAATTCCTCCATGACGTCACAGCTTACTCCGAACCTCAAAGGGTTGTCCTCCGTCAAGTACTCGAAGTACCTCCCCACAGCCTCCTCGTGTTCCTCCGCGTCCAGTGAGCCTGAAATCATAAATAGGCGGTTAATTTTTTAAAATAACGGTTTTTTTGTTCGAATTTTGAATGAGATTCTAGTCTTCTAGTTGACTTGAAACGCTCAACTGAGCGTAGTTACTCGGTAAGGGCGAGGGTCATATGTATTTGTACAAAATGAGACTATTATAATATAATATGTGGTCGAGTGCTCACAACTATGACTGCCGAGACATTTTTCGAATTGAGCTTAGAATCTCGAAATGTCGAGCTCCATGGTTTTTTTATAGCATAAGCCGGTAAACGAGCAGACGGTACGAGATCACCTGATGGTAAGCAATTGGCGCCGCCCATGGACACCCGAAACACAAAGACGTTACAAGTGACTTTTGGGCATTGGGAATTTCAGGATTATGGAGGATTCGGGGATTCGGGGGACGGGGACTAGGGAGGGGGGTAATTGGGCCTCCGATAACCCCACTCACACGACGAAACCTAATCTAATATTCTCAGTATTTATTATAACCACAGAGACTGATGTTTTATAAAATACGTCCCCTTTTTTATTCCGACCGAGAATAAAACCTTTTACTTAATTCTTTTGGGAATTGTGTGGAAAAAGCCATTTTCTGAGTTCTACGGGAAATCGTTATGTTGCACATAATTTAATCAAAGTTTATAATAGACCTTTCAACGTAATGCGCGTAGCGAGCACCTGGCCGTAAATAACAAAGTGACGTCAACGGTCCGCCGGAAATTAATACAGTTGCATCGAAATATGAAATTTTAAAATTTAAATTCAGAATGTTTTATGATTTGAGAACAAGAACGTTGATATATTGATAGAGGGAGTATACTGACGATTACGTTTTTTTTTAGATTTTTTATATCGCACATGTTGCCACGATTCATCATTTGAGAATTGAAGTCTGTAAATTGTGTACTATGTGAACAGGAAACAGGAGGCAAACGAGTAGACGGATCACCTGATGGTAAGTGATCAGCGCCGCCCATGGACACCCACAACACCAGAGAAGTCACAAGTGCGTTGCCGGCCTTTTAAAAAGGAGTACGCTCTTTTCTTGAAGATTTGAAGGTATACGACCTTCGGTTCGGAAATACCGCCGACGTCCGATCATTCCATAGTTTTGTTGTGCGAGGCAGAAAGCTACGTGAGAAGCGCACAGTTGTGGCCTGCCAATCTATATAATGGGGATGCGGATACATATGCTGTCGTGAGGGTCGATGGCGAAAAGATGCGGCAGGTATCAAGGAGATAAAACTAGCTAGGTTTAAACCCACGACACACGATATCATTATAGTGCGGCGGCGTTTAAAAAAGACTCAAGTAATCTATGGTCGTTTACACCACACCTAAACCAGGTCTTAATTTGAAGTTACTTAGTGTTACCTTACTTACACTGTTAGGTGTCACTTAAACTGTCAAACACCAAGCGGTCACCGGTGACCGCAACCTATTGTTCTATAATTGTGTCTACAGTTTTGTACCGGTGACCGCAACCTATTGTTCTATAATTGTGTCTTAATGCATTGGTGAAAACCAATTAAACTGTCAAACACCAAGCGGTCACCGGTGACCGCAACCTCTTGTTCTTTAATTGTGTCTATAATGACAGTGCTCGACAAGTTAATATAGTTAGGTACTTGACATTTATCTAAGGTTAAGAGTTTCTTAAAATCTAGAAGATGTTGTTGAAAATAGGCGTTAAATAAATAAGTACGAAACTATGAACATTTAATTACTAGCTACTTCCGCGTGGTTTCATACGCTCTGCTCAGCTCCTATTGGTCGTAACGTGATGTTTTATAGCCATCCTCGATAAATGCACTATCCAACACAAAAATAATTATTCAAATCAGACTTGTAGTTACGGAGATTAGCGCGTTTTAACAAACAAACAAAAAAACAAACTCTACCGCTTTATATAGGTAATAGTATAAAGAGTATAAGATTTCAGTTGTGAAGCCCCGTCAATTAATTTTGGCAAGATTGATTTACAGTAACTTTCATTTCATACTACCCTGCCAAATATGTCTCCCTTCTCCCGTAAGTCTTCCACCCACTTCGTTTTCATAATACTTATAATAATTTATTTCCGTTCATTACGTCCGTTTATTGTTGTTGTGACAACCATAATAGCTCGCCAAGAAAGATCTGACGTTGGTGTCTACGTGACATCCTCTTTGTCCTCAGACTGAAATGCCCTTCCTGGGTAGACGAAGGGGACTAACACTCACTGAAGGCCAAAATTAAAAACCGATTTCAATATAAAACCTGTTTTTTTTTCAAGGGGGGAAAGTCATCGACTCTCTGCTCCCGCCTGGGTAAGGCGGGGGGGAGTGTCAGACTCTTTCTGACTAAAAACCACCCCGTTCCTTCTCCTGCACATCGAGCCGGAGCCCAGGTAATCCGTTAGGTTTTCCGCGAAATATAAAACGTGTAGATCGATTTTTTGAGTGTTTAAAAAACTGATTTTTATTGATATAAAACTTACCCCGGTGTAACACTCGTAGATGTGGGTTTTTTTTTAATCAAACGTGCGCTCTGATTGGCGCTCCAATGAACCAACCAATTAGGGCGTCGGACGCTTTAATTTTTTAATCTCGTTTACCACAAACTCATAATAAACCCTACGGTAAGTTATCAAATGTTCACATTTATCTCCATGATGATTTTTTACTGAATACCTTTTATCTACGTATACTTAACATCACGGTAGGCAGAGGTGCACATTACGGCACTTAATGACACTGTTATGAGTCTCATGTAATAGGGGGTGAGGCTAATGCCAAATACCAGGCACAATTCCAGACTCCGTGCTACTACTGACATTTTTTTAAAACTATAAGTTTGTCCAACCCGGGAATCGAATCCGAGACCCCTTGCCCGGCAGTCGCGTTGCGACCACCGGCCAACAAGGCAGTCAATGATTTTTACATGAAGTATAAAATTATAAGCTATATCCCACCTGGCCTGATCATCCTGATGGAATTCATGGCCTGGTCTGGCTCGAACCTATGGAAGTGTATGAGGTAGCACGCCAGCATCACGCCCGACCTACTCCTGCCTTGGCGACAGTGGATGCCCATCACCTGCGGAGTTAGAATAGTGGTTTTAATAACATTTGAGTCACTGGCAGTCAAAGACTGACCCATTAGGCAGTTGAAGACTGAAATCACTGATAGTAGTAGTGATTGTCACTTTTGTCATAATAATATCAGCCTCTACCATAAGACGTCCACTGCTAAACATAGGCCTCCCAATAAAGTCCAGATTTTTACACTTAGGTACCATTCAATTTATTCACATAAATTATCATTTAATTTTGTTTGAGACTTTGAGGAGTGGCTTGAGATACGCTACGGCGTCCTCACCTACCACCTGACGCAGGTCCTCACCGGACATGGAAGGTACCTGTGTCTGATGGGGCGGGAGGAAACGCCCGGATGTCATCACTGCGAGGACCACCCTGAGGACACGGTGGAACACAGTGGGGGAATGCCCTGCGTGAGCTGAGCACCGCCGTGCCCTCAGGGACGTGATCAGCGATGGCTACCTCTCGCGTCCGGCCTTGGTGCGGGTCATGATGCGGAGTGAGAGGGACTGGGATGCCATCTCCTCCTTTTGCGAAGCAGTCATGCTAGCTAAGGAGGAGGCTGGACGCGTGAGGCAGCGAACTGCTGCCTCCTAGCAACCCAGCCATCGCAAAGGACACTCCAGGCATCGGGGATCGCGAGATGATCTCCGGCCATCGTAAGCGCGAGCCTGCGGACGGCGAGCATGGGTGGTTCAAAGAGCCATCAGACTACCACGGATGG